GATCTATAATTTTAGTCTGAGGTATTTTTATGATAAAACTTACCGTTTTGTTGAAAATCGCGAAAAACTCATTTTTTTGACATTTGACCTTAAATAAAAATTTTTCCATACACGGGAATGATGGGGAACTTTCAGGTTTTGTTTATAATTGTATTTTGAACAATTGTACCAAAATTCAGCTTGTTGCGAATTTATGTAATTTCACCCCAATTTTTTGGTCTAATTTGACCGGACTATCAGCAGATAACAGAAACATAATTTAATTCAATAAATTTAGAAACAAGGGGTGTGTAGCGCTAGCGGTTCTAGACCTTGTCTTTTGACCGTCTTTTCGCTCTAACCAGCTACGTACAACCAAGCCACTGTGCCACCCCAAACGTCACGCTATCTCCATCCTGTGTTCGCCGGCGCCCAAGGCAGCGGCGGCAAGTATTATCCCGTAACTTTACTCCATCCACCGCGGGACACACGACACTGGCTCCCACCACTAAAGTTTCCTTTACCAGCAAGACACCTTCCGCATATCCCGTGTTGGCGGCATTCGGTATTGCGAGAAAAACAGTCATACGAATGAAAGAAAAATCATCAATTTGAATTTGGGCCGCTCCCCGCTCTCGCCAAACAACCCCAAACATTTTCTGATTAGACAAATTTTAGTTTTAATATCTTTGAAACTTGAAGAACTATCAAACCCAAACTAAAATTGTGGATATTGCAACAAAGTTTAAGTACGCCACATTTGTCAAGGACTTTTACCCAATTGAGAATTAATTCGTTAAAATGTGAATGAAACGGAAAACGCCCAGCGTTCTTACCGCCCCAAATGTTCCTCCTTCCGCGAGCGAAGAAGCGATTCTCAGCCCCACGGAAGACGACAGCGGTGGTTGGCGGCCCCAACGACAAGGGGGAAAAGTCCAGGTGACAGTCAGGGTGAAAACACAATGAATAAACTGAAACAATAAAACACAGACAGAAAGCGCTCTGTACACAATTGTAAATACAACCTCTTGTCTGATGGGTGTTAAAAAACTAACTGCCGCCACCAGCTCTTCGCGCCGTCCAGGCCACAATCTCCACACCTTCTTGCTTACACAGCGTCTTCGTCGCCGTCGTCGGTTGGGCGCGCTTTTCTTTAAATTTAAATACAAAGTAGGCCACTACAATGTATTTTATAAAAGATGTTGAAAATGTTGTCCATTTTCCCGCAAGCACAAAGCCACTCTTCTTTTTTTATTTTCAAAAATGTCCTGCAATACTTCTTCATTGAGATTTTCATTACAAAAACGTGTAATTTTATCCATTAATTCTTCCAATGTGTGGATTCTATTCTTATAAATGCTGTCTTTCATCCATCCAAACACTGAAAAATCAAGTGGAGTCAAGTCAGGAGATCGGGGGGGCCACTCTGGATTGGCTCTTAAACTTATTATGCGGTCATCATAAAATTCTTCCAAATATCTTAAATTTTCTCTTGTCGTATGAGCTGTAACACCATCTTGCTGAAAATAACCAGACTCTAATTCTTCAGGCAATAACTGATTCACAAACACATCCAAAATTTGCTCCCTGTATCTCGCCGCATTAATTGTATCTTGAAAAAATATCGGGCCTATGAATCGTCGTCTGGAAACAGCTAACCATACACCGACCTTCATTGCGTGTAATGGTGTTTCTTCAAAAGCGTGAGGATTTTCTGTACTCCAAATTCTGAAGTTCTGTGAGTTGACGTAGCCGGACAGATGAAACCAGGCTTCATCAGAAAAGAACGACAAATCAAGAATCCTGTTATCATCCAAATTAGCTTGAAACCAATGACAATACTGGACGCGGCGAGGAATATCTGCTGGTTGCAGCTCCTGAACCAACGAAATCTTATATGGATGCATATGTAACTTCTTTTTTAGGACTTTCTGGCACGTGCTGTATGGTACTCCGGACTGTAAAGACAGTTTTGACAAAGATTTCTTTGGACTTTGCTCCATTCTCGTCCTTAAATCGTCAACAACGTCTTCACTAACTTCAGGTCTCCCCGTCGGTTTTCCCTTAGAGACGCTACCAGTGTCGTTAAATCTTGCCACTATTCGCCGTATGTGTGTCTTCAAAGATTCTTCCTCGATGACAACAGGATATTTCACCAGATACTCGTCTTTACAGGCATCCACAGAGTACACCCAGTCTCCATCCTCATTTAACACCCCATTACGGTAATAGGACATCACTATGAAGGTGTTTTGCTCTAAAGAATAACCCATCCTAATTCTTAACCTAAAAAAGTCATTTGTAACACTGACTATAGGTATTCCTCTGTGTTCATTACCTGAAATTATTCCACAATGATCTGTAGTTTTGATAAAAACTGTTTTTTGAGACACTTAAAGTTCGAATAAAGGGGAAGACGCACAAAATGTGGGAAAACGCACCAGTAATCAGTAGAAACGAAAAAATTGTTGACATCCGACAGAATCTGATGAAGCGTTGCCGCCGAAACAGTGTAGCCACTAATGTGGCGTAAAAAATAAAAATTCCAATATTAGTGTAATCCTTTCCAAAACTGAAAAAGGCGGCACATAATGTCACCAAAATCATGGCCTTCTTCGACTACAATATTTTATAATGACCCTGTATAATATCCTTTTTTTTGTGTATAGTAATTTGACTCGTAATTACCTGTATGTAGATTTGTTTTGTGTTCTTAAAAGTAGTTTATCCTTAATTTGTTTAATTGACATATATTTTTTATTTGTTTATTGAAGTTCATTGTTGGTTGTTCAGAATTGTAGTAAATTTAATTTTTTTACACTAATTTGTTTTAACTTTAATTAATACATATTTTGTTTTGGGGTTTACCTGGTGATTATAACGAATTATAATATTTTATTTAAGGTAAATAACATAAAAATATAAAAGTATTTCAGCGTTTTATTTATTGCATATTTTTTTCTAAAAATCAAAATATAAAAAACGTCTTAAAATGGACAATAAATGCCGTCTATAAGACGTCAGTACATCACGTCAATAGTTCGTTACAAAATGACGACTCTAAGACGTCAGTACATCACGTCAATAGTTCGTCAGAAAATGACGTCATCTGGACGAGACATTTGACCGTCATTGGTACGTCAACATCACGTGAAATCTTTGGTCACTATGACGTAATTGATGACCATTTATTCACGTGAAAAAGGCGACATCATGTTGCCTGGGTATCCGAATTACCCATGAAATAAATCATTGCGGTTTGCACCTGAGGTAGTTCGTCCCACATTTGATTGACTTCGTGGACCTATGTGAGGTTGTCGTCTTCTCGGCATTTTAATGAACTTCATAAAACGACAGAGAATTATTTTCACAGTCAATCAAATCTGTAAATTTTGTCTTGAGAATTTTAAAATATTGAAAACTTCAAATTAAATCCTCGAATAACGGTAAAGTTTGAGGTTTTGTCGAAACCAACAAAGTGAATATAGGTAAATAGAATGGCAGATCAAAATTAATAAGAAACTTTCGCAATGTGTAATTAAATTCACTTTAACCAAGACTTTTCTTAAAATAAACGACGTTTTTTTTTACGAAAAAACAAAGAACGATTTGAAATGCAATATACTTTTCACAATTGCACGGAAGAATTAGTTTTGTATGACACGTCAGTTAGACGACAGGTCCGTCAGAAACGCCAACTATTGAAATTAATTCCAAGTGGCGATTCCCATACAAAATTTTTAGAATTTTTTTATTTTTTAACTGTTCTTTTAAGTTATCCTTATTTTTTTTATTTATAAACCATCCCCGTAATATAAAAAAAATTTCAAATCGGTCAAGCCGTTTTTGAGTCTTAGCGAGACTAACAGGAACAACAATTGATTTTTATTTTATAGACGTTTAAAAAATGGGGGTTGGTGGTAGAAAGGTGAAAATTTAGGGTTATGTGTATTTTTTGGTGCCAAATCTTAAAAAAATAAAAATAAAAAATTTTGTCCAAAAAATAGACAAATATTTTTTAGGGTGGGCCACCCTTATCACTTAGGGGCTTAAAAAATAGTTTACAACTTATTGTCAGACCTACCGAATATACATAAAAAATTTCATATAAATCGGTCAACCCATTTCGGAGAAGTTTGGTTACAAACACTGTGACGCGAGAATTTTATACATAATGCATTATTATTTTAGAACAAATTTCATTACCATAAAAAAGGTTATACTGACTCGACCTTAAAAGATGCTGTCGCGGACTTTTCTTTAGAACTTTTAGAGGGGAACAATTTCGTCATACATGATTTTTACGTAACTTTAACCGTTTAAGCAGCGTAAGCAACGGAAGCTGTCAAAGGAGGAATAATTTTCCCGTTTTTCCGAATTTTTCATTGCTACTTCGCTCCTAATGATCGTAGCGTGATGTTATATAGCCTATATGTAGATATGATACATGGACTATCCAACACAAAAAGATTTTTTGAATTTGAACCAGTAGTTTCTGAGATATGCGTGTTCAAATAAACAAAAGCTTCAGCTTTATTATATAAGTATAGATTTTCGAGTTTTCGCGGCGGCTCATCATCTGAATTCCGTGTCTCCGGCTTTAGAGCACCCCGGCGCTCCCTCTCCCGGAGAGCGAGCTGGCGCCCGAGCGACCGTCGCTCCTGACCGAAGGCGCCACCCCGGCGGCGTGAAGGTAGCCGCATAAGCTTGGTCGACCAGACGTGTTTCTGATATCAGCGATACTAGTCGACCCAAAGCTTGGCACCCAAGTACGCCGCCACCCCATACGTTATCGGTGAGATTCCGGACCGTCCCATCATCCGGAATTTCGTCGCAAATTTTACCGTACATACATGTAATAATTAACAATATTTGTGATTTTTCAATGACATCTTTTCTATTTCCATCAATTCCTCTGAACGTCATATACTCCCCTACTTTGTAGAAAAGAAAAACCCTTCTTCCCCCTCCCTCGTGCGTTTTGATAAGCCGTACCCAAGCCCGTGATTTCACGACCAGTAATGCCAGCGCCGTTCCCATGGGCAGCCCCCACCAGCACTACAGGTGCCGTTCCCCGAGTCCAGTCCCCAGGTGCCCTGTCACGACCTGCCGTCCCGCTGGAACTTGCTCGTTCCGCCTCTGGAGAGGCCCCCAGGAGCCGACTCGACGAGCCAAGTACGTGGACGTACAGGGAACCGCCCCGTCTTTCCCCATCGCCCTCACCAACAGCCACGAGACCAACTTGGCCGTCTCTGAGTCGAGAATTTCGACCGCCACCACCGAAGCGTCCGTCTTTCGTGCCACCTCCGGCACCGACACAGCCCCGTCGAAGTCGCCACTCGGTCCAGTCATGCTACGCACACCCGCGGGACACCCGTTGGGAAGCCCTGGACCTTGTGCGCAAGAGCCGTATTCACTTCGACGGAGAGACCGACCCCATGGCGTTTCTGGAGCGCGCCGAAGAACTCCAGGAACATTTTGGCATTTCACCGGACACGATGCTCACCGTGCTGCCGGAAATGCTCACCGATAAGGCGGTGGAGTGGTACCGTAACAACCGGGCCCTCTGGTACTCCTGGGACGACTTCGTGGAGGAGTTCCGGGACTTCTACATGCCGAATTATGAAGAAGTCCTGGAAGACCAGATCGTCAACCGTCGCCAACGACCTGGAGAAGCCGGTCGAGATTTCATACAGGCCATGCAAACCCTCACCCGCCGTTTGGGAGGGCATTCCCCACAGGCCGTCCCTCGTCGCCTGTAGAGCCACCTGCTGCCGGAGTACCGCCAGTACATCCGTCGTAGAGACTTCGAGAGAATCGGGGAGTTGGTGAGGCTCATAGATGAGTATGAGCAGTTCCAAACCGAAGTGAGGAGCCATGCAACAGTCCCACCACCGAATCGCGTCTCGACGACCACCCAGATCCCGGCTACCAGGTATGCTTACGCCCCGCCCCTAGGTCTGAAAACCGTCCCCTGCAACCGTCGTCCAGGCCCGTGCAACCACGTACGGCACCACCGCGAAGGCTGGAGACCATCCGTCCCCCACCACCGTCGTCCAGGCCCATGCAGCAGTCCACAGGCGCCACCGCCAACACCGGAACCACCGTCAAATGTTGGAGGTGTGGAGAATCCGGACATTACCGATCGGCCTGCAGGAAGCCACCCCAACTGTTCTGCTCCAGGTGCGGCCGAAGCGGTATAATATCCCGAGAGTGCCCCTGCGACCGAAGAAACGAGCGAGAAGTCTGCATCATGTCGAAGCCATCCCAGCACCCGTCCAAGCCGTCGCAGCAGCCATCCAAGCCGACTCCGTCGATGGAAGCTCCCCTCAAGTTTCCTGACAACCGTCCCCATGTCGCCGTCACAATTTTTGGGATCGTCTACGACGCCCTGCTGGACACCGGAGCCGTCAGCACGTTTATTGGCCAGGAAGTTGCCACCGTTGTAGCATGCTACTTTTACTTGCCGGTGTGTGGGGCGTATTTTAAAGGGCCACACAAATGCTTGGGTACTTAACATCTGACTTGAACGCCATAAAAGACAACTAAAAAAAGAGAAAAGGGCCTAAAAGAAAGTATAATAGAGTTGCGGTAGTCAAATTAAGTATAACTGGTTGCATATGTTTGTTTTTCTCCGGATTTTCAGGTTTTCTTACCGTTTTCATTTTTGTTTTTGGCGCCAGCCGATATGGAGCGGCTGGAGCTACGCCTGTTACCCCTCCCATTTTAGCGGGTGGCTGCTATAAGCCACAGGGGGTGTCACTCTGCACTCCTGGGTGCCATACCACTCAAATCTCTTTCTTTACACTTTTATCTTTCCTCTCGTCTTCTCTCTTCTATTTCCCAGAGTACCGTTGTACTGTTTTGGGGAAGGTCTTTCCTTCCTTTCCACTCTTTGTCGACACCCCAAACAGTGCAACCCTTCTTCTATCTTTCCATTCTTACTTTACTATCACTTTCCCTTCACGCTTCTTCTCTTCACTCTAATTCTTTTGCGACTTGTACTAACAACATCTCATCAACCACGATAATTATAAGCCTACGCGAACCTAAAATATCGGTACGACTTCCGGATGTAAACAATCCGCCATCTTGATGTCAAATATGTCAATACACGCGTACGACGCGAATTAAAGGTCTTTCTTAAGAGGGGATGGTGGAGGAAGTCTTCCATTTTGAAAGGATTCGGTGGTGGTGATTCGGCAAGTAATGTCGTGTTGTGCGGATCTGAAATTATAGTGCCGGATCTCGCTATCGTTCTATCATTCTACCGTTTATCGTACCGTGTAGGGTTGCATTGTTCAACCCACTATCGCTATTATTTAAAGAGGATTCGGTCGTGGTGATTCGGCGAGTGAAGTTGTGTTCTGAGGTTCAGGAGAAGTCCTGAAATCTTAGTGCCGATTACCGTTACCTATCGTTTTTCGTACGGTTTAGGGTTGTGGAACTCAACCAAGTATCGTTGTTGAACCTCTTAACTCCAGAGGATATCGTTTGAGGCCTTCTCAAAGTAGTTATCGTTGTTTTTTTGCGTCGCCATATTGGAACTGAAAGATTTTCCAAAATCTAAGTCAAGAAAGACGCTGAATTTCGCTTTCCGAACAACTCCAGATCGCTGCTTTCAACTTCCCGGGGCAAATCGCAGTTGCTTCGCCTGTGAGAACGTTGCTAGCTCACCAGCTGAAGACGTCCTTAGATCTACAACCAGCTAAGTCCTTTATCGTTCTTATCGCCTTAGAAATATCGTAAAATTCGACTTTCGCTTTAATTGAAATTTCTAATTCTATCTCTTTGCGTACAATAATTAGTAGTTAGATAAGTTTCTTACATCTTAAAACGCCAATCAGTAATGAGTGGTCAAAATAATATTTAGTAACATTCTTAAGAACCGTCATGTTATAACGGCACGTGTTAGCGCTATTTTGTAGATTCGTTATATTATAATTCCATCTTATTCCATATTATTTCTCCACATTGTAATTTTCCATGTTAAGTTTTTTTAGTTTTTTTTATCGCTTCAATATCTTAGGCTTATCGCTATCGCTTACTATCAGCATTAGTAAGAATTGTTTTTATATATGCTTTCAACTTTATAAATTTCACTTAGAATTTAACTTTATTTTGTATAATATTCATCTAAGTTACTTCAGTTAATTTAATTAAGGTTACTAACTTTATTAATTTTAAGCTGCTTCGCAAATTCTATAATTTTTTCATTTTTTTGTAATAATTTTATAATTACTTTGAAGTTACTTTTAATTTTCATTAAACTTAGTAAACCAAATCTGACCGAATTTAATTTGACCCTCTTCCAGTCCACAGAGTGTTATATATATAAAAAAAAAACATCAGACTTTCAGTAACTTAAGTCGGCGTGACACGGCATAGGTAAGTTACTTGGCGGCCAAATATTATAAATAGATATATATGAACCCATCACCCTGCCCACCAACACCTAACTGAGCTGCCAGTGTTACACCGTGCTGCGCCAACAAAACGTTGCCCCCGTGGCAACCCCCCAAGTTCGGATACGCATGGCCCATGGCGACATTGTACCGTTCACAGGAACCCATGACTTGGAGTTGAAAATCGGCGATGTTCCAGTGACCGCCCGCGCTGCCGTTTTTCCAACCCTCACCACCGCTATGGTCTTAGGTATGGACTTCCTGCGCGCCAACGCCATCGCATCGCCATCGACATCCCCCGGGGGACGCTAGTGTGGAATCGCCCTCAGTCGCAGAACACCCCTGCCGTGTCTACCGCGCTGCCACCCGGGCCCGGGCCGTCGGCTAGAAACCCGCGCATCCGACGCGCTCCAAACGACGCTGTGATTTTACTGTGATGTCTGTTTTCAGATGGATAACTCGGTCGTACGGGATTTGGTAGCTGAACTGCTCCGGGGAGAGGATCCCGCCCCAAGTCCCGGGGGATCCAGGTGGGACCCCCCATGGGGGCAACTCCCCAGCTAGTCTCCCGCGGGGTCCAGACAGACGGAGAGGCTCCCCGACGAGACTTTGTGGCCCGGTATGTGCCAGTGTACCAGGAGGTCTGCTGGCATTGTGCGCGACCGGGCCACTGTCGGGGCCAGTGCCCGTATCCGGCCGGCCCCAAATCCTGTTCACGATGCGGCCTCGTGGGCACCACGTCCGCCGCCTGCCAATGCGGCCTACCGGAGCGACCCCGCAGAAGCCGCCCCCGTCGACCGTCCTCTGGCGAAGTCCGGCGCCCCGTCTCTAGGGATTCCCCCTGCCGTCACCCCGCGTGAGCCCGACTAGGAGGACCAATGCCGTGCGAGGACTAACCGGAAGCCGCATGTGAACAGTCGCCGAAGAAGAAGTCTGTGTATTTAATTTTTTTCTTTTCTGTAGGGTGCTTTAGTGGGGGTGGGTTATGAATAAAAGAAAAAAAAGAGAAGTTACACTCCTTTTTTTTAACCGACGAAAGGGGGGAATGTAACGAAGCGAATTTTCGCGGGCCGGAAACCGTGACGCGTACCGCGAGAGCCGGGGGGTAAATCGCCGCCCCCGAGCGAAAAACCGTGTCACCGTCACCGCGTTTTTTGTTAACGTCAAAAATCGACACCGTCGTGCACGCGTCGTTACCGTCACCGCGCTCCCCTCCCGGGTCGCTGTTCCGTTTTCGCGCGATTTCAGATCTCAAGGTCGCCGCCCCCAGAGCCCGGAGGAGCGCGGCCTGAAGGAAGTCGCCGCCCAGGAGGAACGACCGTGCCGGACATTTAATTTAATTTTGTTCGTATAACCGTTTTGTTAGATACTTAAGTTGTTTAGCCGTAAGATTTATTATTTTAGAACGTGTAGCTGGTGGCAGGGAATAAACCCTATTTGTTACAACACATCCTCGCCGTTTTATTTATTATTTTCGAGTTTTCGCGGCGGCTCATCACCTGAATTCCGTGTCTCCGGCTTTAGAGCACCCCGGCGCTCCCTCCCCCGGAGAGGGAGCTGGTGCCCGAGCGACCGTCGCTCCTGACCGAAGGCGCCACCCCCGGCGGCGTGAAGGTAGCCGCAGAAGCTTGGTGGACCAGACGTGTTTCTGATATCAGCGATACTAGTCGACCCAAAGCTTGGCACCCAAGTACGCCGCCACCCCACACGTTATCGGCGAGATTCCGGACCGTCACCGGACCGTCCGTCCCATCATCCGGAATTTCGTCGCAAATTTTACCGTACATACATGTAATAATTAACAATATTTGTGATTTTTCAATGACATCTTTTCTATTTCCATCAATTCCTCTGAACGTCATATACCCCCCTACTTTGTAGAAAAGAAAAACCCTTCTTCTCCCTCCCTCGTGCGTTTTGATAAGCGGTACCTTGGGCAGGTATAAATTGTCCAGTGGGCCCTTTTTCATTCAGTGTGTATTTTGTGTTTGTGGTTACAATTTCGAAATGGCCAAGTGCGAACACAAGAATTTCGAAATCGATGCCTCTGTGGACAGGCAAATTCAAAATTGCTTTGAAGAGATGGTGGATTTTGAAATGGTGAAGCTAGATTCGGCTCTATCAGTGAACGAAAGACGAAGCATCGCGGTGGAGCTGGTGCTAGTGAAGAAGGAACAACTCAAGTTAGCCAAGAAGAGGAAGGCAGCCGAGAAGTCCAAAAGAAAACACTTGAGCCACCAGAGAAGCCGGCAAAGAACCGCAAAGAGTCTTCTAAAAAAGTGCCTGCTCAAGCAGTACTGGGAGAGAGAGGATCAAATTCTACCAGGTAATTGAAAATCAACTTTTGAAATAGTAATGGTCCTAATAAATTTTATCTTTTCAGAAAATAAAGAAGTGGAGGCCATTCACGAAGAGGCCAAACGTTTAATGGAGTGCCTGGAGGAAGTCATCTCAGACAACTTTTAATTTTTTTTATATTTTTGTTTAAGTATTATTTATTTTTGTTTACGGTATTAAAAATATAGTATATTGTGTCTATAGAGTATATTTTGTTTTATTTAAATACGATTTAACGTACCTATGACTTCCTGTGTGTGAAATTCAACAATACAGTGCCAATAAAAATCGAGCATATTATATGGCTATTGACAATAAACCGAATCAGAGCTACAATTTGAGAAACGTCTGTAAGAGTTAACGGCATTGTTTTCGCGTGAAAACATTCATTAACTGCCAAACTTATAATCAAATGATGAAAAACACTCTTTGCAACGACTGCCTCCTTTATTGTTTTAATTAAGGAAATATCGTACTTGGTCTGCTTTTGTTATTTTGTTAAATTTATTTCTGGGTTTACATGTCTTCTTTTTTCCCCATTTGTACCTACATGTGTCAATAGTGAATGGTTCGTTAATTCACTAGTTAAATTAATAATTT